GATTTTCTGGTGCAGAGAGATGCCAAGGAGTGTCATCCTCCAGGCCACCAGAATGAGTAAATTCAAAATGTCCCCGCTTCTTTGTGTCTTCCACTTGAGAGTCAAAGCAGGAGCATCGTTGTGGCCACGTGGTGGCCACCCCTACCCTGAGGGTCGGCTGCTGGGGGTCAGAGTGAGCTTCTGGTTTCCGGAGTAGGAGGCAAGACCCGTCTCTTGCGGAGACTCAAGCCATGGCAGACTCCCCAGCGCTGGAAAGGGGTCAGATGCAGAACTGACAAAACCAAGGATAAATGTCCATTATCCCTACTTCGAGACACATCTTCTACCCTTTCCAAGACAGGGTCGTTCCCTTTGACACATGCAACTCCGCTTTCTCCTGACTCTTGTCAACATCACACTGTCCTCTCCAATCAGCACATCTATGTTTTCCTTATTTAAAAAAAAAAAAAATTTATTCTCCAGAAATAACCGATCCAATTAAACTTGACCTGAAGGTCAGAAAATTACTCCTGGACTGAACCCACCCTTTCTGGAACTGAGTTAGAGGTGTAATGGTGGACTGTAATTATAGCACTCCCCTAGATAAATACATAGTCTCGCAACGGACGGTTTTAGAAACAGAACTGCTGCGGTAGTGTAATTTACAATTATAACTATAAGAAAAGCTCCAGGATAAGCAGCTTGCGACAAAATAGCAAAGCAAATTGAATAATCAGTTCCTTTAAATACTGTGAGACATTATAAATAGTGCTGTTTTGAGTCAGAACTAACCTCGTAAGTTGAATTTGGAAACTAGCAAAGAATATTTTCTGGGAAACGCTACTCTGTTTCCTTAGGTAAAAATAACCACTAAGGGAGGGGTATAATTCCAGGATAAACCTGGAGAAGCAATTAGAAAGAAAAAGTAAATGTGGAATCCAAAGGACTCTGCTGCAGCCAACGGCTAGCCTCTAGGGCATAAAATGCACGTGGCCAATGAAACAAGTACACAGCAGGCGCTTCCGAAATCATGTGCCAGGTATCTATGATCATTATGTCTCCGTAGCCCGGATCCTTCATGCATCCTGCTCTGTCCTGCTCTGTGCCCAGCACACTGATAGGAGAGATCACTGGGACTTTCTTGTCCTCTTGCTTCTATTTGGCTTTCACCAGTGGGAGGTGAGGGCAGGAGATCTTTGAGGGTGTCGAGACAGCTTCCCTATCATTTCCATCCTACACCCTCCTGGCTTTACCACAGCCCTGATCGAGGCCCTGTTCCATGGCTCTAGGTGCCCCCCACCCCCTTCTCAGCAGGCCTGAGGGTGCTTAAGGGCTCCCCACCATCGCTAAGTCCTTGGATGCCTTGCTATCACTTGTTCCCAGTTGGCACTTCTGTAACAGTCCCTTCCTGAATTTCTTTGAAGTGAAACCTTTCTTAGTGTGCTGGTTGTGTCCTGCTAGGACCCTCATTCATAAAGGATCTAATGCTGGGCACTCCCAGATCTACCTTTCCAATGAAGGCAGTGAATATAAATGAGCAAACTCCTAGAAAAAAAAAAACAGGCCAAAATGATGGAAGTTGTATCATCCAATGTATTGGGTCCAGGAAAATGTTCATCAAAATCTACCGGGACAGTAGAAGGGAAAAATAGAGGTGAAAAGAGAATGTTCTATTTTATAGGGAAGACTGACAGTAGCCAGGTTTCAGATTGAGCCTCACAGCCAAATCATGTGGACCAAGGCTGGGCTATTCAAAATAAGAGATTTGCGGGGTGTCTGGGTGGCTCAGTTGGTTAAGCATCTGCCTTCAGCTTGGGTCATGGTCTCAGGGTCCCGGGATGGAGCCCCACATGGGGCTCCCTGCTCATCTGAGAGCCTCCTTCTCTCTCTGTGCCCCAACTCCCTGTTCATGCTTGCTCTGTCTCTCAAATAAATAATAAAATCTTGAAAAAAAATAAGAGGGGCGCCTGGGTGGCTCAGTTGGTTAAGCATCTGCCTTCAGCTCAGGTCATGATCCCAGGGTCCTGGGATCGAGTCCCTCATCGGGTTCCCTGCTCAGGGGCGGAACCTGCTTCTGCCTCTCCCCTTGCTCCTCCCCTCTTGCTCATGCTCTCTGTCAAATAAATAAATAATTAAAATTAAAAAAAGTTTTGGGGGTATCGGTGACAATGGAATTACAACTGGCTAGCCTAGAAGCTCCTAGCAGCAGAAAGAGGCTCTTTGCAAAGACGTAAGTTCCCACTGTCCTATCCCAAAAGTTTACAATGAGCTCGAGGGATATGAGGTTCCTAATTGCAAGAAACTCAAAGTAAACAAAGAAGAGTCAAGGGTCAATGTAAGCAAGGAGTGAATTGTATAAAGCAGGAGCCAAGTTTTTAGGGAAACAAAATCCAGTTTCCTTATGTAGAAAATGTACATTTAGACTTAAGAGCTCCAATAGGGGACCCTTCCAGCATCTGATTCCCAAGTGACTGTGTCTTTTGTGTAACATTTATAAATGTCACAAGCAGCTTTCCACATTTAGCACATCCCTCGTTATTCTCAGACCATTCTTTGGGAGAGACGAATGGTTCCATTAAATCATATTTTATGCAATTCTCCAAACACATTTTCCTTTTTGCCCCCTTCCACTTAGGCATTAAAAGAAAAAGAAAAAAAAAACAAAAAAAAAAACAGTGCTCACAGGATGACGAATACGTTAACATGAAATAATATATTCATCTTGGCCAAAGATTCCTACCGTCAATTTCCCTGTTGGCCAGAGGGACGGAACTCACAAGCCCACTGACCTGGAGCTTCTGGATGGAACAGTTGTTCTTTGGAGTACTTACTAAAGCAGGAGCCAAGAATTGGCAGAAAATGTGTTTGGGAGGAAGAAGTGGTCTACACCATGTAGTCTGAGCCAACATCTTCCTTCTTCTCATTGTCATAGTCTTCATCCCCTTGTTGGTGTTCTTCTTTATGCATTACTGTTAACTCAATTATTGATAAAATAAAACCATCCAACCACATCCTCCAGCAAAAACGTATCTTGAATGCATGTCTAAAGTGCAAACTTCCCCCAAATTAGCTATAATCTTGACTTTCCTATTTCTATTTAAGTCATCTAAACCTTGAAAAAAAAATTCTAAGAAATCACCTTAAGAAGTCAGATTCCTCTTCTCTCTCTGTGTCCCACAATCCTCTTGGTACTACTTCTGAAATGCCCCCTACAACCACAGCTTCTTTCCAGGCCTACTCTCACCACCCTGGGTTAAGTTTTCTTAAAGACCATGTTTGGGCGAGCACCACATCTTTACCAATTTAAACGTTATGACTGTGACGGCTGTTTATGCTGCTCAAATATGTGCAGCCTTCGTCTTCTGGGCACATTGTAGGATTGTACTTCCAGGCTCCTTGTGAGGAGGTGGGATCATGGGACTGGTTTTGGCCAATGAACTGTAAAGAGTGACATCTGTCACTTCTAGCCAAGAGCATTTAATTGCACTTTCCCTTTGCCAGAGGAACCAGCAATTTTCTGTGACAGTGGGAGGAAGGGGACAAGGGGATTTGGAGCTATGTCTCCAGTCAACCGACAATGAACATCAAATGTGACCAAGAGATAAGCCTTGCTGTGTTAAGACACTAAGATTTAGGGTTGTAACCACAGCATAACCTAACCTGTCCTGATTGATACACTCCCCCACCTTCCATCCTAAATACTGCCACCGACTAGTCTGGTTCTATCACTCCCCCGTCCAAATAACTCATCTCTATCGGAGTACAAACGGTAGTCCATCATTCAAGGCTTTTTACATGTTGGCCTGAGCCTACGCTGTAAGCCTCAGCTCACTCAACATAAGAAACGGGCTTCCTAAGAATTCATGGAGCATGCCCCAATTTCTGCCTTTGGTCTGAAGATTTCTTGTTTCTCAAGTGCTCACATCTGCAATTCCATCTAGATCCACCACTAGTGAAGAATGGGTAGAACTCACACAAGTTCCACTGTGGATTTCTGCTCAGCGCTCAACCTAGTCAACCCAAGTATTCATGTCTTTCACTAATGGCTAAGAATTTTCCGCATAGCCTCTTTCTGTTCTGTTCCCTCTTTCTGGAATGGCTATGAATCCTGTTATTTTGTCCTTTTTGACTTCTAATTTCTTCCATAGATTTCACCTCCTTACCTCTGTGCTGTATTCCAGGTAATTTCTTCACGACCTATCTTCCAGTTCACCAATTCTCTCCAGTTGAACCATCCAGGTTTCCTCCCAGGGCGACAGCCTTGTGTGCCGTTTTTCTACTCGGGATTTCAATTTCTTCTTCATTTTGGATCTCAGGGCATTCTTTGAAACTTTCTTGGATGCTCAACTGAGCGTTTATGGATGCTAACTTTATACTGGCAAGCATTTCTGGGTACTTAAGAGTAGAGCGACTTTCACTTTATCTGATAAAAGCCATAGTGCCACAAACAAAAATTCTAGTGTCGTGTTTTGCACATACTTTTTATTTGTTGAATAAATGAGTATTTGTCAATATGTACATAAACACATAGAGCAAGCACTAAGATTTAGAGCAAGAATATCTGGATTCTAATACGCAAAGCCATTTACCCACTGTGAGGGCTTAGGCAAAGAACTGAATCTGAGCTCAGCTTCCTCAACTGTATTGAGGAAGACTATTTTAAGACCCGTGCAGCCCACCACACAGGTTTATTGCAAGGTTAAAATGCAGAAACACACGAAAGTGCTATGAATACAACTTAGAGTAATACAAGTATAAATATAACAAGTAACAGCAATTGAATTTCAAGTGTAGGAATACTTTATCACGCCCTTGCATTATACCCATGAATTGATGGGAGTTGACGAGAAAGTGACAGAAGAGCTGATTGCTCATGAGAACGAATATGCCGTTCTTCGGGGGGGAGGGAGGGGGGAAGAATTCTGCAATATCCTGTAGCCTGTCCCTGCCATTAATCACTTCCTCAACTTCACGGAGATGTCAGAGACCACCATCAATAACTCTCACAAAAGCACAAGGGCTCATGTCCCACGTTTATTTACATATGAAATGTGTTCAATACAGTTATGATGGATGTAGTGCATAACACCTGACAGCAGTAAGACCTTTTGAGGAACCGAACGTTGACTACAGTATATCATGCAAGTATCTATATATACACAAATGAATTTCTTTTCTTTAAAAAAAAAAAAAAAGTACAAAACATGTTTTAGGGATAAATACGATATAAAATGCCAAAGAAAACACAAAAAAACCAAAAACGGAAAAATAGAGAACTCTCCCAGAGAACTACAAACGGAAGGGACAGAGCAAGAGCCCTGCTGCGTTTCGATGAAGCAGAACTCCTGATATTGAAGATACTTATTGAGATGACCGAACTGAAGCCTGGTGGCTCAGTGCGTGACCGCCCGGCCAATCGCGACCCGCACCTGCTGCATTGATAGGTCGGTGGCAGAAGTTGCGCATCCCAACTCCAAGTACCAGAGGTTTGGCAGTAGCACCCAGAACAGGAAACGCCAACTCTTTAGACAGCAAAGGGTTAAGTCAACTGTGATTTCTTTTTTTTTTTTTTCCTGTCAAGAGCCAGAGAAATACTTGATATTTTTAGTTGTGTCTTTGTAAGAGTTGATAAATTACGTGACAAAAAACTCGACTGTAGAAATCTGTTGGTCTAACTACAGATGTGTGACTTTTACAGTAGTCCAGCCCTTTTGTGACTTGACCTTGTGCTCCTTCGGCCCGCCTTGCAAAAATCTGCCCAGAAAACCACCGGCCTCTGGGTCTTCCCTTTGGAGTGCCCTTCCTTCCCCATTCTACTGTGGAATTAGGGAAATGCACGCTCCTTCCTGGCGTTCTGGCCGAAGTTTTTAATCCGCCGCTGGGGAAGAAGCTACCTGCAGGGCTGGTTTCAACACCGTTTGGCGTGGCCTGGAAGAAAACGCCACATGCTGGGGTGCAGTGACACGTCGAGGTGCACTCACCGACTCGGAGCAGGCACGTTGAGGGTAATGCTAAGACACTTAAAAGTCCCTAGTGTTTTTGAGACCCACAATACCTACAATTTACGTAGTGAATTCTAAAAATTAAAAACACTAAAAAAGGCATTATCTTAGCCTGGAATTAGTAACCCATTCAAATCGGTAACATACAAAATGGTTTATTTGAATTCAGGAACTGCCCCTGTTACTAAGAACTCTGTTTTAAAAGAAACAGTACAAAAAGAAAAATTCTAACCCAGAAAAACAAAAACAAAAACAACAGTAATCAAAAGACACCAAAAAACCAAAAAAAGGAAGAAAAAAAAAAAAACCCTCAAAACATTTTCCACTAAATACTGATACAAACATGTAACAAAGAGTATAAAAAGTTATTCATTTAAATATATACAAACTCTTTTAAACTCAAATACTGTTTTAATACTTATCGAGGATATACACGACGAGGTGAAGGTACACTCAAAGAGAATATATTGCAACAGCCTAGACAGTACTGTTAACTCTATTATACTGCAAACTTTTTGTAACAAAAATGTCTCTTTTTTTCCAATGTGGACAGGGATTTTCCTTACGGAAGGGCTGTGGCTATTTCTCGGCTGAGCTCGCTCTCTTGGATTTAATGAAGGCCATGCCGTGTGTCCGCATGTGAGCATTTAAGGCAGCTTCAGTTTCAAACGTTTTTGCACACACTTTGCACTTTCGGTCTGACCCCGCGCCGTCGGGCGACTCGTCCTCGGGGCTCGGCTTGTTCTCCTGCTGGTTCTCTTCCCCGGCCCCGTTCTGCTTGGACACAGGCTGGGGCTCCTTCAGCTTGTGCACGATGAACAGGTGCCTGGACAGGGACACGTGCGACGTGTAGCAGAGGCCGCACTCCCGACATTGGTAGGAGGAGCCGTCCGACTTGTGTTGAGGGATGTGTTCGTGGAACTGCAGGAGGTTTTCGGTGGTGAAGCCGCACACGGCACATTTGTGAACCTTGAAAACGTTGATCTTCAGCTTTTTCAGTGGTTGGGTAATTGCCCCTCTGGGAGGTCTGAACTCTAAAACTGGTTCTTCCAACTTCCGCTTGGGGCTGGGAACCTTGGAGAGAAAAAAACAAAGCGGACAACACAAGTGAAAATGGTTCTGCCCCGCGGGTGATCCATGACCGGCTCTCCCCGGGCCTTAGAGCTGCGAGGGCAGCGAGGACTGTGGGTTTCGGGATTCGGGGTTTCCTACAGCTGCGTGTCCGCCCCCCCAACTCCTGCTCCCCCGGGGACTCCCACCTTTCATCTGCTCCACACACGGGACCGAGCTCCTGCGTTCCCAGGCACCTCGGCAGCCGCGGGGCCCAGGAGCGGACAACCGAGTCCCTGCCTCCCCGGAATGCGGGCTCCGACGGAGCGGGATGGAAAACCACAAGCCAGGAGATCGCCGTGGGTCGGACCCCCAGAAAACAAAGCAAGGCGTGGAATGGGGATGGCACGCGGAGGCAGGGGGTTTGTGAAGCTGCCCAGCACAGACAGGGATGGCCCTGGGGACCGTGGCACCTGAACCGAGGCCTGCTGTGGGGAGGACGGGGGTCCAGGCTCGGAGCCCAGGCGGCAGCTGGCCTGGGGGCCCGAAGGGAGGCCGGCGGGGCTGCAGCAGAGCGAGCAGCAGAGCGTGCGGAGAGGACGCGGGGGGGCGGGCAGGGAAATGTCGGGGCTTCGCCTCTTCTGGGACTGGCCCGGAAGCCGCTGGAAGGCCCCCAGCTGGTCCAGTCCCCGAGCTCCCCCGCACACTCACTCCCCTTCGGCACAAGGCTCACCCACCGGCCATGCTTTTCTCCTTCCTTTCCAGCTTTCTAAGTCTGACGCCTCACACTTCCAGCTCCCCGAAAGTCCAAGCCGCGGGGACACTCCCTCCTCCGTGCTCGGTGGCCCATCTTTTCTGCCCCGTAGACAGGGCACCACTCACACACAGCGCCTGAAGCTGCCCCTGCACAAAGATTCTTCAATCCCGTCCCAATCCCCCACCCCCATCACTCGAGGGGAAAAGATTGCAATTCGATGCAACTCCTGTCGGACTTGTATTCTGACTAGGCTTTACTCAATGATTCACTTGGGGAACGCACACACAGGCTGTTACCCAGGTACATTCCAGATGCAGCCCAGTGCCGACGACAGCAGAATCTCCCTAAGCGTCTGCCGGACTGTTCCCTCCTCGAATAGCACTTGGCACCCACATGCCTGATACACAGGTTAACATATATACTGTTGTCTGAGTCAGGTTCACTACCCACTGGCCTGAGGACAAGGCAGAGATTTGTGATTTTATTTTTTACTGTTACAAAGTGAAACGAAGACGAATCTCTTCATTTTTATTAGGTACCTTTCACAACCGATATACTGCCAAGAAGAAAGAACCTAGCTTTCTACATCCCTTCTGGCTAAGAGACCGTTTGCTAAGAGACCGTTTACCGTTTAAAAGAAACTTAACACCTTTTAGGAGCAAGATGAAAGATCAGAATGGGCGTGAAGGGAGATGACCTATTATTTTATACCTTCATGCATAGGCTTGGATTTAGAAAAATTTACAGTGAAGAGCATGAATGGAAAAAGCAAGTCAACACAACGTCACTGTAAAGAGAACATCTGCAATGTTTGACCTTGGTATCTTCTTTTATTTCTGTTTCCTCCTCATTGGTGGCTTCTGTCATTTCTTTCAAGTCAGGATCCTTAATACCGTGCATGAGTTGGATATGTTTCTCCAGCATCAACCGTTTCGTAAAGGTGCGCCTGGAGTCTGGGCAGTGCCTGTGAAGCAAAGACAAGGAGGTAACCTGCCTGCTGGAAAGTAACCCACGCTCAAGAGCACGCTCGTCAGGGAAAGACCTCCACCAGCCAACAGGACGCTCCGGGGGGTCAAGATGATCTGTATGAATACCAATGGTCTAAAATGAAATAGCAATTTCGCTATGAATCGCAGTTTCCAAATTTGTGAGCAAAATTTTTGTGGTTTTTGTAAAAGGCTTTCTTTCTGACACTTTTTTGTGTCCTTATGGGACCAGCCTAATTCGGTTCAGATGGAGTATTTCTTGTCTAGGTTTGGTTAAGGTATTACTTAATTTATAATTCTAGAGAGCTTTAATTTTTAAATAGAGAAATATCAAATTTCAAAAGTTTTCTTTACAATGACTCAGTGTTCTCTCAGAATTTATGTTATAAGAGATACTTTAGTATGAAAAAAGTCCCTCGTTGATTCCTTCACGTGGATGTTAATTATTCCTGTCCACTCTGCCATAACAAAGAGAAGACAGGGTGTCTAGCCCTGTCAAATTCCTCACCAAGGCACAAACATGGTATCACAGGGTTAAAATGTAGGAAACTGAACAGATATCCACCAAAACAGGTCAATCTTTTAAGCTTTCACTTCACCTTGTGTGTGTTGGCGGGGGGGATCCCAAACCTGCAGATTATGGACAGTTTTTCCTTTAGAAGATATGAGTTCACCATTTTCTTAATGAAACGGACAAAAGGAAAAAAGTTAACGACCGTGGTGACTATGGACGCTGTAAGGCAGATAAGAAGAAAACCGCTGCAGTGAATGAGCGTGAACAGCACCTCGAGGTCTTGTGCAGAATCAAAAGGCTGCTGGACATTCTGTAATGACTGGCCCCACACCCTGATGATTTTGTGTTCGAGACCTGCTACGGGGCAGCATCGGGAGCCAGCACCAACACCAAAGAATAAAGGAAACCAGCCGGACAATCCGAGCATCACTCGGCCTTACAGTGACTCCCAAGAGAAATCCACAAACCTAGCTGAGGAAGGACAAAGCCATACCAGACTCTCAGCCAGGTCTTCCTTCTAAGTTCTCCGATCCTCTCAATGCAGTCTCACACGTGCAGGCCTTAGTCACAGAATGTTCTCATCTCACCAGAATCACTCCCAGCTTCAATTTCACCGAAGGAGAGTCGCTGTCCCAGTTTCTCTACCCAAGAAACTTTCCCTGGCTAACCGAGAACACCGAAGCCCCGCCAAACTTACAGCCAACCTTCACGAGCGTCCCGAACCGCACCATACCCTGCGCCCTGCTCTGATCATGCCACACGATACACGCAGCTACACGGCTTGTGTGCCTGTTAGTCTTCCCTTTTACGAGAAGTGCCTGACAGTAAGTAACTCTGTTGTATCAATTCACCCCCGCCCCGAGGCATGCTCTGGTTGAGTGGGTGATAAAGCTTTTCCACCAAGGCTATATAACAAGTTCTGATTCTCATATACAGTGAAGGAGCTCATGGCTGTCCAGAGTGGCTCGACCATCCACTTGGCGTCCTCACCCACTCAATTCCTTGAATTTGGTCTCTTAGCCAAAAGCGTGTGCCGAGAAAAGGCCACCCTGCATTAGAGAGAGAGGCCAGCCTAGGACTGACTCCATGACCGGGCCCTATCAGGGTCTGCTCTGAACCAATCAACTGGACAATCAAACTGCCAAGGAGTGTTGGCAACTCCCTGGGCATACAGTGACCAAAAAGCATCTCATTCAAATGTGCACCTGCAAATCAATCACTTCTCCAAAATGCTCAGGTACCTCTGGACAACAGGTAAGGACCCAGGAACATACACAGGGTAGGAAAGAGGCTACTGCTGTTTATTTTACTATTTTTTAAGTGTTACAACCCATTCAAGAAAACAGAATATAGCTGAAAACTGAAAATCTATGAACTACAGCAGAGAAACGGAAGTTAACGGCAACATATGAAAACTCTAGGGGAAGTTCCCGCCTCCTCCTTTCGCTGCGCTTCCCATAGTAGAAATCACGACTTACGAGCAGGTATAAACTTTCCTGATGCCTTTGTGCTTGATCCGATTGTGACGGCACAGGCTGTGTGAGGAGCTGAAAGATTTGTCACACTGGCGGCAGGGATGTTTTTTCATTTGCTTCATTAGGAGAAAAGAGAGAGAGAGAGTCACTTAAGAGAACAAAACCAGAATCGCTTTAAAAATTAAGAATGTTGGGGCGCCTGGGGGGCTCAGTCATTAAGCGTCTGCCTTCGGCTCAGGTCATGATCCCAGGGTCCTGGGATCGAGCCCCACATCAGGCTCCCTGCTCAGCGGGAAGCCTGCTTCCCCCTCTCCCACTCCCCCTGCTTGTGTTCCCTCTCTCACTGTGTCTCTCTCTGTCAAATAAATAAATAAAATCTTAAAAAAAAAAAAAACTGAAATATTTAACATGTAATTAAATCAATTCTTTAGACAATTTCATGAACATTTATCATTTAGATTTTTCTTAGTTGAGGGGCGCCTGGGTGGCTCAGTCGTTAAGTGTCTGCCTTCGGCTCAGGTCATGATCCCAGGGTCCTGGGATCAAACCGCATCAGGCTCCCTGCTCGGCAGGAAGCCTGCTTCTCCCTCTCCCACTCTCCCTGTTTGTGTTCCCTCCCTCGCTGTGTCCCTCTCTGTCAAATAAATAAAATCTTTAAAAAATAAAAATAAAAATAAAATAAAAATTAAGAATGCTTTCATAATAGTTGAAGTTATAATAACCAATAATGTTTAAGCAATACAAGGACAAAACCAAAAGATTCTTCTTAAAATGTAACAAAAAAGAAGGGCAGGGCTGGGGTAACCACGAAGGGGCTAATTAGTTTCTAGAGAATGGGAGAAACGTTATCCTAAGAATAAAATATTACATTTTCTTCTCAAAACGCTTAACAGTGTTGACTCAACAGAAACCCACGGATATGTGAAAACATTAAATTTTCTTTGCAAAGGAGATATAAATGGTATTTTTAACATTTCAGACAGCAGACACTATATGAAAACATAATGCTTCAATAAATACCAAATAAAACCACTACTTAATTTGCTATAGATCCAGAAAGAACATTAACTTATCCAGGGCACCATTTTAAATGAAACCTCTAGCTGATTTTAAACACTTTGACTTTCCCCCCGCTGATTAATTATTCCTACCATAAGAGAAGAGTTTTCCAAAAGGCCTTTTGAATAATACCATTTAGTTATTTCAAGAACACAAGAGTTTGACACCACTTTATGGAGGCTGCCCCTAGTATATGCAGCATGCAAGCTTGTGTGCGTGGAGGCTGGGGGACAGTGAGAGAGCAAGAGACATAAAAGTCAACATTAAAAGTGACTTTGGCTATGACATACTTGTGTTAATTCAACAGATTCTCATGTGGGACCTTTCTTTGGGTACAATATGCACTGCAGTCTGGAATCAAACAATGTCATTTCACAAGGAAATTAGATCAAGAAATAACTGTCAGCCTTGTGAATGGAACATTTGGCTAAGCCCTCCTTAAAAATAAGGCTGAAGTAGAAACAAGATCTCATATGAAATAACATTACTATTTTTGGCAATAAGAAGAGATAAGCAAGCAATTGTGGGCTAAGTGATTAAAGAAATGAGAAATATTTTTAAACAATGTTTTCATACTAATCACCTGACAAACATGCCCTTATTCAAGCTGGTAAGCAAAACTATTTAAGTGGTTGAGCTTGGCTCTGGAGACCCAGATGTGGGTTGGCGCCTCGTCTCTACCGCTCACAAATCGAACCGTGTGATCCTGGGAAAGTTTCTCCATAAACATCCACTCCCCATTGGGGATCACCACAGTGCCTGCCCTCAGAGGATGCTGAGGGTAACGGGGGGGGGAATGAAAGAGTCAGCACAGTCCTTGGGACACAGAGAAATCCTCCATAAATACTTTTATGAATAATAATAAAGTTACATATCAAGTTTCAGTTTAAGAGTGGAAAATACTGGGGTGTCTGGGTGGCTCAGTGGTTAAGCGTCTGCCTTCGGCTCAGGTCATGATCCCAGGATCCTGGGATCGAGCCCCGCATCGGGCTCCTTGCTCAGCAGGGAGCCTGCTTCTCCCTCTCCCACTCCCTCTGCTTGTGCTCTCTCGCTCTCTGTCAAATGAATAAATACAATCTTAATGAAAAAAGGAGTGGAAAATACTGTCTTTTAAATAAAACGTATCGGCGTGCAAGTGCTCAAAAACCTAGACAGAGGCAAAGGAGGAAGTTACTTCTCCATGCTAAAGATGGAAGTCATAGTACTGCTTTTCTCGTTCTCCTAAGCGTACGATCTGGGATATTATGAGAATAGTATCGGGGGGGTAGGGGGGACCACAAAGCGAATAGCCAACTAATGCTTCAGAGCCATGCTGTCTCTTTTCCCAAAGGTATTCCTTCATAAAAATCTTGATCACATAATACAGATAATCCCTAGTCTCTTGGATTAGCATTTATGTAGCCAGAGAATAAGAGGTTTCTTCAGAATAAAGCTTTAAGAACAGTCATGAACAGTCCTACGTTTCAAAAAAGGTACTGAAATATCTATTAATATCTAATTCTTGCAGAATTTTGTATCTATAAGATGGACAATGTTAAGATCCTGGAAGAGTCAAAACACAAGACATTTTTCTAAATGCAAGACAGTTACAGCAAATCACCATAAAACAAGCAGAGAACGGACATATAGCTTTCTAACCATACAACAGGGCAAGAGGCCTCAGAGGAATGCAAACTGGATTTTCCATGAAGATGAAGGGCTTGAAATTCCATTTCTTGTTCTGGTGTCATTATATTAATATCAAATCAAAATTTTAATAGAGAAATATCAGTAAAGAAGTCCTCAGTAGGTAATAAATTAAATGAAGAGCAGCTTAGCTGAATCAGTAATTACTATTTTCAAAAAGAGTTGGCAATGTGTGAGATACTTTTCTTTTCCGACGTCTTTATGAAAAAATGCAGAAATGAGCTGTGCAATTCCCAAACAATGGAGCAGGGTTTCAAAATCAGTGGTGACAAGAAAATCACAGGTTTAAACACCAGTCTCCAGATCAGACCTGCCGTGTTCCCATTACCTAAGAAAACAAATGACTTCCTTCTTTGTTAAATTTTAAATACTAACTTATTCAAGGGTCCTTTATCTAATTTATTTTCCTAACTTCTATCTCTTCAGTATTATAATAGTTCCTACTGTCACTTTATGACACAGAAAGCAATTTTCATCAGCCAAACAAAAACGGAAAAAAACAAAACAAAACAAAACTGTACTGAAAAAGCATAAAGTCTATTGTCATTCGGTTTTCAAGACTGTTAAGGTCATTTACTTCCTCCTGGCTCCAGAAGTACAAGCTGAGATTGAGGGAACTAGGGCCCTGAGTGGACTTCTTATAGTTAGGTTTTCCTACTCAATTATGAACTATTTTGTTTTTAAATAGAACTCTTTAAAGAAGTAGTGAAAGGATAGCTGGGAGGGTCTGAAATTTTTTGAAAACTTTAAATACCAAATAAAGCAAACAGTTAGGTACATTTCCTAAACTTTCTCCCTAATCTCCAAGTTTTAACTCTTTTACCTTCACATTCTTTTTTTTTTTTTTAAGATTTTATTTATTTGCGAGAGAGAGAATGAGAGACAGAGAGCATGAGAGGGAGGAGGGTCAGAGGGAGAAGCAGACTCCCCGCCAAGCAGGGAGCCCGATGCGGGACTCGATCCCGGGACTCCAGGATCATGACCTGAGCCGAAGGCAGTCGCTTAACCAACTGAGCCACCCAGGCGCCCCTAATCTAAGACTTTTTTTTTTTTAAGATTTTATTTATTTGAGAGAGAGACTGAGAGAGAGAGCACATGAGAGGGGGGAGGGTCAGAGGGAGAAGCAGACTCCCTGCCGAGCAGGGGGCCCGATGCGGGACTCGATCCCGGGACTCCAGGATCATGACCTGAGCCGAAGGCGGTCGCTTAACCAACTGAGCCACCCAGGCGCCCCTAATCTAAGATTTTTTTTTTTTTAAAGATTTTATTTATTTATTTGAGAGAGAGACTGAGAGAGAGAGCACATGAGAGGGGGGAGGGTCAGAGGGAGAAGCAGACTCCCTGCCGAGCAGGGGGCCCGATGCGGGACTCGATCCCGGGACTCCAGGATCATGACCTGAGCCGAAGGCGGTCGCTTAACCAACTGAGCCACCCAGGCGCCCTACTGAGCCACCCAGGCGCCCTACCTTCACATTCTTTAGGAAAGAAAGCATCAGCTCCTCTTAGCAAATGCCTTTGCTCTGAGTGCCCTAGCCTTGGGCTCAAGGTCTGGGCTCTGGGATTTACAGTGCCTCTCAAGGCCATTCTTTCTGGATGGCACTTGGTGACTGTGTTTGGACTGCCACAGGCTCACAACCAGCTATTTCCCATTCTGGTAACTAGTCCCTTCTTGTGTCTTGGCTTGAAGCCTTCTTTCTGTTTCAGGGGACTCTGGAGAAGTAGAGGGAGACATCCTTCTGGCCAGACATGCACGTGGCCTTATCTTGAGATTCCTGCCTCCATGAGGTTATCCGCCTCCCATCGACATGCAAAGAGCTTCCTCAACTACCATCACACATCCAGAACCCACATCCCACCCCCGGATTTAAGATGAAAGGGAGCAGAATTATTCCCAAGCCATGCTGACACACACTTTCAGCTCTATCATAAACACTTCCTATGAAAAAGGAAAACCCCAACCACCTGTATAAACGTCAACCTATCACAGCAGTAATCCCACAGGATAGAACTCCTAAAACTGTGGACCTTTTCACTTGGAAATCTATTCTACAGATACACCCGCACACGGTACGGTCAGTTCTGTATAACACGATAATACACATATATCACAGGTCATAAATCACTGCACTACACAAAATCACACAATATAAACCACAGGGCTTCTGGCAAAAATGAAGTTAGGGGCGTAGCACTCAAACCCTGTCAGTGACACACTTAATAAAAACGGTAGCATGGTGTCACGCAGGATGCCGGGGGAAGGCACGGGAGCGTTGTGGCTTGTTGCGATTTTGTGAAGTGGAGAAAGGAGGGTTACCTGAGCTCAGAGGGTCGGAGGGAAGGTGTAACACCAGGTGTGGACCAGTGTGACTCA